TCTGCGCTGCCCGTAAAATTGTTCCCGTGCTCGTAGATTCACGCGCGCCCTCGCTGGCGGAAAAAGCGACCCATGTTAACCCCGTCGTCTCCGCAAACCTAACCACCAGTCGCGAACGAGCTCCTCCTTCACCTGCACGTCTCGGATACTACGACTGCCATGGACGCGCCCCAAGATATCGTGCCCTCGGTCGAGGCACTGCCTGTCCCGCAGGACGATGCCGCCGCCGCCGCCAACAAGCCAGCCCTGACGCCGCCTACGAGCGAAGACAACGACAAGCGTTTTGAGAGGATGTCGTCGGAGCTTACAGATCTCGACAGCGACGATGGAGAAGATATTGAGCCCGACCACTACTTTGAAGGAGGAAAGATACCTGTATTCAAGCCGGTACGTCGCAAAGATGCACATGCGCTTCCCAAGAGATCCAATGCGACGCGCACAATGGTGCTATACATGTGCCGCATGCGAAGATAGCTCGGACGGTACTGACAACCATCTCTACAGACAATGGATCAGTTTCGCAACTTCCAGCGCTTCATCGAGAAGGTCGACAAATACGGAATGAAGTCTGGTATAATCAAGGTCGTTCCACCAAAAGAATGGTGCGTCAATGCGGTTACTACTAAAAGCTGCTTCAGAGCTTACAATATTACAGGCGCGAATCCCTCCCCGACCTTACAGAAGCTGTCAAAACCATCAAAGTCAAAAACCCAATCACACAAGAGTTCAACGGACAACACGGCATCTACACACAGGCAAACATCGAGAAGCAGCGATCATACAACCTGCCAGAGTGGAAGGCAGTAACGGATGAGCCACACCATCAGCCACCGGCCAAGCGAGGCGAGCGCCGGAAAGCTGCTGCAGAGGTTCCTACTCGAACCCGTTCCACAAGAGCTCAGGCTGCCTCTACAAAGAATGATGACGCTTCACCAGCGCCCAAACGCGGTCCCGGCCGCCCTTCCCGGAGACGCCAAGTGAAGAAGGAGCCGGCAGCTGACGAAGAGGATGAAGAAGACGAGCACATTGACGTCCCCCCTACACCGACCTCACCTGGAAAGGATGAGAAGAGAACATCCTCGAGAAGAGCCAAGAAGGAGAGCCGGGCTGAGACGCCCACCAGAGCACGCGGCCGGCAGCCCAAAACGGGTGACGAAAAGAAGTCTGTTTCGTCGCGACGGCTGAACAACAGGGGCGCCATGGCCGACCACGTCGACGAAGCAGCCTTTGAGAACTTTGATTACCGCTTGCATGGTCTTGAGGAGTACACAGTTGAGCGCTGCAAAGAACTTGAGGATAATTACTGGAAGACTATCAACTATGGTCAGCCAATGTATGGTGCAGACATGCCAGGTTCTCTTTTCGACGACAGCACGACATCTTGGAACGTAGCAAAACTGCCGAATCTTCTCGACGTGCTCGGAACAAAGGTCCCTGGTGTCAACACTGCCTACTTATATCTGGGTATGTGGAAGGCTACATTTGCTTGGCATCTTGAGGATGTGGATCTTTACAGTATCAACTACATACATTTCGGCGCCCCCAAGCAATGGTACAGCATATCGCAAGAAGACGCTCGTCGCTTCGAGGCTGCAATGCAGACCATATGGCCCAACGATGCGAAGCATTGCTCGCAGTTCCTCCGCCATAAGACTTACTTGATTTCTCCGCAGCGGTTAGAGAGAGACTTCAACATTAAAGTCAACCGACTTGTTCATTACGAGGGCGAGTTCGTCATCACCTACCCATATGGCTACCACTCTGGCTACAACATCGGCTACAATTGCGCAGAATCTGTCAATTTCGCAAACGAGTCGTGGTTGAGCTACGGTCGTATTGCAAAGAAATGCATGTGCGAGTCTGACAGCGTTTGGGTTGATGTCAATGAGATCGAACGCAAGCTGAGAGGTGAACCGACGCCTGAGTACTACGAAGAGACAGATGACGAAGAAGATGACGATGATGGCGTGGATCGTCTTCCTAGTCCTCCTGTCAGCGTCGCGGGAAAGCCTAAAGCTAAAGCAAGCCGCAAATCCACTGGTAACAAGAGGAAGCGTGGAAAGGAGGATCCAAAAGAGGCATCGCAGCCCAAGAAGCTCAAACGTATCCGCATTCGCATCCGGATCCCTGGTCGTGGTATGCCTTGTATTCTGTGTCCTAACGATGTGGAGTACGATGACTTGTTGCCGACTGACAACGGCATGAAAGCTCATCGCATCTGCGCCGACTACACGCCCGAGACATACATTGTCAAGAAGAACGACATTGAGACTGTGTGCAATGTAGCCAACATTGGCAAGGATCGTCTTGAACTGAAGTGCAACTACTGTCGGTCGAAGCGCGGTGCTGTCTTCCAGTGCTCTCAGAAGAAATGCACCAGGGCTTTCCACGCCACATGTGCTGTTGCGGCTGGAGTCCAAGTCGACCTTGGACCGATGCCCACGTTTGACGAAGAAGGTACAGAATACTTCTACGATGGCTACGACTTCCGATGCCGTTTCCATCGACCGAAGAAGAGGAACAACAAGACGGTCGATGTTGAAGCGCTTGAGAAGGACAAATATATCATGGCATACGGCAAGACTCTCAAACCTAAGGATGTCATTCAGTTCCAATACGTGGGCGGAGAGATGTACCAAATCTATGGTGCTCAGGTAGTGGAGAACAGGCCTGGAGAACAGGCCGCCCTGGTTGATGTGCTACCTGATGGGTATGTCAAGTGGACTCGATTGACTTGCTGTGCTAACCTGAATAGTGACCGTGTTGAGATTGAATGGAAGTACATACTGAAGCTTCATCCGGATGAATCCCAGAGACCGAAACCATCCGCAAATGCTAAGCCACTCCCAGAACACCTGAAGGAAACCGACGCGTCTCTTGACATTACCAATCGTACCGATGGTGTGCCTGAGATGGGTGATCCTTTCCACGATCCTAACTCTGAACAGAAGTGGGCAGAGTGGTACACGGCTCCGGAGGTTACGCAAAAGATGGCCAAGGTTGATCTTAGCAAAGAAAACCAGCTATGGTACTACCTTGGAAAGACGTCAACGGAGGCCAGGCCACAGTACACCGAGAACCCAGCGAGGCCAAGACACAATCCGAAGAGCAACTTCCTCGATACTGTCAAGCCTCCTCCACCTCCAGTACCAGCGTTCCATCGTGCGTCATACCCGGCCTCGTACCCACTCAAACCAGCTCCTATTGCAGTTCCTCCACGAACTCCTGTGCAGCAATACATGCCGAATAGCCGACCATACAGTTACAAGCCAAAGGATTCGACAGGAACGCCTTTTAGATCGCCAGTCTACAATCCGGACACCCGTAAGAATCCCAATTCACCCGTTGCGCATCAACCAAACGTGAGTTATGACCATCGCATGCCACACGGGCAGTACGGCCAACAGTCAAACCAGGGCTACCACTCGCATCGACCGCCGCATCCAGCTCAACAACCGCTGCAATATCATCCATATGTTCCTCCGCAAAGTTACTCGACTACTTCGTGGAAATCCCAGCCGGCGACATCCGGGCCGATGCTCAGTGGTATCGACAAGCATGCGCAAGCGCCGCCGCATGCTAATGGATTGCCGCCACACCCATATGCTCAGGCGTCTCGTCACATGCCGCCATCTCCATACTCACAGAATCAAGGACCCGGTGCGGTGCCAGCGTATGGACCACCTGGCCGCCAGGCTCAAGGGCCGTCGAATGTCTACTCGCCAATCTCAAGCATGCCGAGCAACCCTTCTGGGCCTCCCAAACCTCCAATGTACGCCGTCACACCCTCCTCTAACATCATCTACGCTGCCCAATCCCCTACTGAATACCTATCCTACGTTATGAATTACCCCTACCTCAGAAATTGCTATTTGCGGAGGTCAAAAACTTACATTTCACCGTATAGTCTGGATCGTGGGATCGCCCCTGAATGGATGCCGAAACCTACTGCAAGGGCAAATGGCACGCCTACTACGATTGCACCGAAACCCATCCTGCCAAACGGATCTGCACCTCCTCAGGGGTATTATGGACAGCCATCCACGGGTCCGTCTGCGCCAAAGCCATCGGCCCAGTTCCAGTCGCCTGATGCTTTCCAACGCGAAATGGCACGAACAACACAGACAACAGAAGCGCCAAAGTGGGAGCAAATGTTGAAACAGCTCGCTACAACAACAGGTCAACCAAGCGAGCGCCCCACGACTGAGCCTCCATCGCAGGAGCCTCGCCCGAGTCCTTCTCAGGATGCCCCTCAGCGCACGGAAGCTTCTCAGGGCGAGACAGCATCGCTGACAGCACCACAACAGCCTCAACGACCGACGCCTAGCCCTATCAGTGACGATGGCAAGGCCGATGATGCAGCTGCGTCTGAGCAAGAGAAGCCTGCGACGCCGTCAGTACAGCCTGAGTCAAAGGGACATGGAGCAGAAACATGGCGTTACTCCTCGTAGGTAATTTGTTATGCCACTCCTTTTTCATGAACAATCACGTTTTTTTAATACTGAGCGTTTGTCTTCGTGGGCTTAAATTACAGTATTGTAATGACATGTATGATTATGTGGAGGTCAGTATTGGCGTTGTCTGTCAGGAAAAACTTTCTACTGGTTTGTATGTATATGCTCGATAGCATGATGTTCTGAATGAACCACAATAAACTTTTTCATGTCAAATCAAATGAAACAGTCTTGTCTAAGCCACCCAGCTTCTGATGACCGAGCTATATCGCAAAAGTCCTGCGTCACAAGCTGCACCCTTCGCACTGAATCGAAACACAGAGTTTACAAGGAGATCCATCAACCCCCTAGTCTCAAAACCAACATAGCGCCCCCAAAATCATTCCGTTCCGTTCCGTTACGTAAAGTCAGTAATCTGCTTCTCTCCCTCGCCAAACCACTAGTAAACCTCAAAGCGGGGCCATTTCTTTTTTTTTCTCCACCCCGCCATGTCCATAACAACAACTTGGACATTACAATTTTCTCACTCCTCCATCGAAAGCCTTCTCCGGTATGGTGTATCGGCTAGCATCCGTCGCTTTCATTGTTTCTACGATGATCAAGCGCCCGACGAGAGCCGGGTTCGACTCCCGGTACCGGAAATCATTCTTTTTTGGTGTGTTTATACATCTTTTTTTTGGATGGGGGGAGGGATGGGATGTGGGGCTGAGAGACAAAGGTCAGTGGTGGGGTGGGAAGCGCTAGCGGTGCTTGGGGATTGCGCTAGATTGTGGAATGGAGGTTGGAAAGAGGTGTTTGTGGGTGACTATTCTTGTGCAAGTAAAGTTTTTTTGCTCAGACAATATCTGTGTAATTCTGTGTCTAGGCATAGGATGTTTTGTATCTGTCTGGGAGGTAGAAGTCACGTTGTAGCAGAGTGGCAGAAAGGCTATACATGTGCACAACACATATCATTGAAGTGATAGGCAGCGAGCAGAAGTTGGCTTGCTGCAAGTAGATACAAGAATTGAATATAGAACATGAGTTTCCCAGCTCTTCACTTCCGTACACGATACACGATACACTTCTTTATTCCATCTTCTCTTACAACTCACACCTGAACTGAACGTCCTCGGATTGTACCTCTCACAGGCTTTAAACTCGGAAAGCGCGGGGGTGACGGCGAGTCACATTGCCTGAGCTGGCGCCATCAAAGAGAGCAGGACCAGGGATCTTGTAACCAGAAGGATCGCTGTAGACATCGGCCTTGATGCCAGGGTCGGTAGGAGTGTAGAGCTTGTCAGCCGGGGTTCCCTTAGGGGTAGCCGTGCCAGAACCAGTGACCTCAAGGTTGATGCACTTGGGGTAGTTCTGGGCGCCGTTCTCCTGGTTCGCAGAGTGCAGGGCAATGATCTCATGGCGGAGGACGTACTGGCCAGGAGCGAGGCTCTCGGGGACAGTGATGGACCAGGAGTTGTTGTTCTTGATGAGCTTGGAAGCAGCCCACTCGCCGTTCTCGTAGCCTGAGGCGGCGATCTTGAAGAACTCGAGGTCGCTGGCCTTGGCGGTAGTGGCATCGTCTACCTTCGCCATGTAATCGAGGACAGGGCCGACGTGCGACTCGGGCCAGGTGGTCCACTGGACTTCGACCTTGCCTCCAGCAGCTACCTTGGCGACCTCAGCACCAGGGGTGGCATCCTTGTGGCAAGCAATCTTGGTGGCGTCGTTGTACATGGAGGGCTCGACGAAGCCGTTGTCGAGGCACTCTGGGCAGGACCATTGGATGACCTCGGGAGCGGGCTTCTGGTACTGGAAGGCTGGGTCATAGGCCTTGTAGTCCTTGCCGTCGACAGTGATGGCGGCAAGGTGACCGTGGGCACTGACTGAGGCAGCGAGGGCACCGAGGAGGGCAGCGGCTTGAATGGTGGAAGGCATTGTTGTAGTTGTGTATTTGGAATTGGGATGTTGACAAGAACAGAGACTGGTTTTCGAAAGTTCACTTCGATATCAACGAAGTTGTGGAAAGAATGCGATGCGCCTCAAGCGTCTGGAAATGAGTGATGAAGTAAAAGGAGCGAATGCTTGAATGACTGGTTGTGTGATGAGGAATCCAGTGAGGCCGGAGAGCAGCAGCACTTATACCCAGACACTGCCATAATCAAAGTCGATGCCCACCATGCCCATCTGTCAAATGAAAGGAGTGGCGTTGACGTAGAGAACCACTCCCAACGGTTCACCGTTACACAGCTGTGGAGCTCAAGTATCCAGTGTTTGCAATATACACATGTCACACTTGTCCCATGGTGTGTTTGGTAGCGCAATCCTGTTTCCAGACGATCCACTCCTTGTTGGTGGGTCGCGGATCGGCGCAGGCATGGTTGTGAAACCGAGATTTGAAGGAGTTGAAAAATGACTTTGTGCGGGGCATGCACACGTCATTGCAGCCTTGTTTTGGATATGATCACTGTGCTGCATCAGTAGAATGTTTCTTTTCGCGTCTGGACTTTGTGCTGATGGGTTAGTGTTACCGAGGCATGGTTGGAGGTTACAATGGAACGTCTGAAGTATCCACAAGCCGTCCCGCCTACATACAATTCTGGCCTCAATGTTAGCGTCCGGATACATCAGACAATAGCAATGTACCATTGGTTGCTAAGTTTTAGAGAGTTAACAGATGATAGCGTTTGATGAGAAAAGTTGAAATGTGAAAGTTCGAACTGGTCATCGCTTTGCCACTTGCAGGCAGGTAAACTACCTGTGTAAGATATATCGACAATGCCTGATGGTCCCTAGAATTTCTACAAACTTCGATCATGCACTGGATTGGGAAACATCACATAGACACACATACTTGTGGCCCCAATTTTCATTCTCAAGCATATTGACAATACAAAAGTGACCAGTATTTGCCTCTTTCGCTTTGCGCATGCATAAATCCAGGCCACACAAAGAAGATACCAAATACCCAGCTGCCTCTGAATGCCGATCGCGTGAAGCTGCTAGTTGCATGACTACAATTGATCAATCAATATCGATCCGCTACGTTCAGCAGCATGATCGGGATTGAGAGACAGAGGGCGAGTCGGCAAGTTGTGATTGTCGTGGTACCGTCTATTTGACGTAAGATAGATTCAGTACGATTGGGTGATGTGCAAACATGAGATATATGAAGCTATGTTACTGAAATAACCCTGACAACTCAGACCTGAGGACCAACTCTTCAGTATTCTTCTATTAGCATTGTGTTGTGATGATTGCAGCTACACCTTCTGGCGAAACTTAAGCCCCAACTGTCGGGGCCGTGCGCTTTGCATCTGCTCCCGACTCCTGAACCTAGCCACACGACAACAAGCGCAAACGTAGTTGCACTAACCCTGCGGCTAACCTCCACTGCATTGTGTGGAACTTGAAGCCTATGGATCTTTGCTTCTCAAATTCACCATGGCTGACTCTGCAGCTCAAAACGACAGATACGTCGACGCGATGCATTCGCAGCAGGTCAATGCTAGCGCGTTCAGACGCTACCTTACACTATTCACCCTCAAGCTGCTGAGGCGCTCTCAAGAGCGTAGAAGCAAAGTGCTGTTTGCTTCAGACAAGATATGCATCAAGTATGGGCGTACCGCAACACTCAATGAGGCTTCAGCTCTGCAATTCATCGCAAAGCATACCTCGATTCCAGTTCCTCGCGTGTACTGCGCCTTCATTCATCAACATCGAACATACATTGTGATGGAGAGGATGCGCGGAGAGCCAGTCGCGCGTGGATGGACCCGACGTTCAGAAGAGAGTAAGGCAAAAATTCTAGATCAACTGAAGAAGATGGTCGAGGAGATGCGCCGCATCTCACCTCCAGAAGACGTCGGTGTTGCTAGTGTAAACGGCGGTCCCTTATATGACGTCCGGTTGCCTGGTACAGCATTCTATTTTGGGCCATTCAAGACGGTTCAAGACTTTCACAAGTTCTTGCGAAATGATCTTAAAGCACACCCTGGACTTTCGGCTGATGTCAATGAACTCATTTCTCGACAGGAGAATACTTCATCGGGTTTGGTGTTCACTCATGGGGATCTGAGTAGCTTCAATATTCTTGCTTCTGGAGATGAAGTTGTTGGTATAATAGATTGGGAAACTGCTGGATGGTATCCTTCCTATTGGGAATACACCAATGCCTGGAATGTATATCCATTCAACGGATTCTGGCAAGAAGAAGTTGATAAGTTCCTAGAGCCCATGCCCGAGGAATTGGCTATGGAAAAGATTCGCCTCAGATATTTTGGAGACGTAACTTAAAACGCCAAAGCAAGACCGGTATAATTACACAAACCCTCTCCGATATGTGTGTTCATGCAACCGTCTCCCTCCTTTCCAGCAAGTCATACGTAGGCACCGTTATCATATCAAACTGAGCTTTTCCGTCGAAGCGATGCTCGTCTTTCTTCCGCTGACAATAATCCATTGCCGCATTCCTCACAGTCCTCCACTCAGTGACACTATTGCCCAGGGCTTTACCGTCTTTTTCCAAAAGCTCTAGCGCTTCTTTTACCCACTCAACGCAGTTCCATCCTAGTACATCTGGTCGAATTGGAACATTTCGAAGAATGGATATCAATCGACCCCTGTTATTCACCTTGGCTATCATCACTCGCACAAGAATCATTGACGTCGCTGTCAATGAAGACTCCCTTTCTTGGAACTCCCAAACAGATACACCGTCCTCTGAGATGGCGTTTTTTGCATGAAACCGCATACCTGTATTCCCCTCGGTCTCGGACTTGGGGCCTAAGATGAGTGCCCAGTGGTACCTATGATGTATTGAGTGGAACTTCTGAGCACGTTATATCTAGCACTCACGTGTCTTCTTTTTCTGGCATTTTAGGTCCTTTGGCTCTAGCGTGAAGTGCGACGTGAAGACGATCCTTATTTCGTGGCATGATGCCGTAGTTTGTTAAAGAAAAAACCCTCCTAGAACTAGCGTGTAACTAATTGAGAGAATTGCTAAGCAGATCTGGTTGGTAGAATGGTGTTAGATGCTGATGTGGGTGAATGCATGGGATTGCACATGTCGTTTCTTTTCTATATCTATCAGTACTAGTCTGCTGATTGGTACCAGGCGTGATGCACGCGTTTGGCACTAACCACTCAGCGTTTGAACATCTTAGGGTGCAGTAGCAACACACATTGCCCAAGATCGATGTAACCCAATCCCATATGCATCGTAGAAGGCAGCGCTTACTTAGTCAGCCTGGGACAATCGAAGCGCTAACAGTTTGTAAAACCAAAGATAAGGTACGGAAGCGCTGTAGATCAGAGCGCATAAATTATGGCCTTGGACATACATAAGAGTAAACTCGCACAGGATATCAAATATTTGAAGCATTGCGCAAGAATGCGTTGTAGTTATCACCATCATTGTTCAGTTGAAAAACATTACAAAAGCTTGTAGGTGAACAGGAAATGAGAGAACGCTGTCTCTTATGCGTCTCTACTCAGGCACTCAGAAGAAAGAAACACTACTTGCAAAGAGGCGCGCCAGCTAAAGACCCACACACATGGTATCGTGAACAAATTTTATGACACAAACCCCTCCGTATGACGCCGAGAATATGCGAAACAGAAATGTTCTCACACATTGAGTGGAGGGATGAAAAGAAAAAGAACA